TTATGTAAACACAGGTTCAGACACCTACCACCTGCAAGGAAGCAGAAAGGTAACTTGGAAAACAACACACAACAGAAAAACCCGTGTTCAGCCTAACACTACCACAGCCTTCCCTATAGCTTCACACCTATGCAAATTATCTGCCAAAATGCATAAAGCTCAAGATAAACAAATCTCTTCCACAACTTGGCATATGGAAAAAGGGTCTGAACTGAAATGGTAATTGAGTTTTAGAGACCCATCCATTTGCTGTCATCGTGCCATCTGTCTCCCTGGCAGAGTCCTGATAGTTTGCATTGGCAGCTTTGATTGCCAAAGCTCATGTATTAAGTTAGAGTTACCTAGTCTTCCCACACACAGTTTCTTATTATTTTTCTATAGATCTGCTATTCTAGATGATTGACAGAACTGCGGGATACCATGTACTCCCAGAAGCATAATATATTTTGATACTTTTAAACTTCTTTTTTTTTTTTTAAATCACAAATATGGATGATTTTCTATTCTGGTTTGTAAGCAACCTGCAGAGACCAAGTCCATCAGAGTCCAGAGAAAGGCTTACTACTCTGGGACTGACCACAGGTAAAGATCACAGGTGGTGGTGTATATATGTGTTAAGTATTTGCTATCACTGGAGTAATAAATGAAAACTGTGGGTGCCTTATGAGGGCAGTACCCCCTGAGGCTGGCTCCAAGTTATTGCACTACTGCCATAACTACTAACTGCAAAGCACCTTTGACTAAAAGCCAATATGACACCTAGCATAACTCTGCTGACTCCCCTGAAATGACACAGGTGATTAATGTTGTCCCTTAAGGTATTAAAGAAGTGATAAAATTATTTACATTTCATTTATTTACACAGAGTGCAACTTTAACTGCAGCAGCGAATGATGCGGGAGTTGCCGTAAGACTTTATTAAGCTACGTTCCATCTGGTCCTGTGACCGCGAACATGTTTTTGGCTGTGCAAGAACAAAGGGTTTAATTCCAGCAGGAGTTAATTCACGTTGGACAGAAGACACATAAACACCCCTGGCAGTCCATTTACTGAGACATACACAGTAATGCGAGGTACCAGATTCCATCCTCCCTTTAGGCTGGCTGTGTAATAGGTTGTGGCCAAATTCAAGAGACACAAGGACTGAGACACTTACCGTGGAGTTTACGTAAGAGAGGACTACAGTCTAGGCAAGATGGATACGCAAAGAGGCTGCTCTGTTGAACAGCTTTTGTTCTTGTTCTGCTTTGTTCTGTTGCAGAATTAAACAATACTTCAGTTATGTCACTGAAGTCATACAATTGGTGACAATTCCTAAAGTAAAGCTTGCATGCCCTAAATCAAACGAGACCTGCCGTTAGAGGCTGGATGAGGAATAGTTTTCCAGCCATACAAATAAAAAGCCAACAGGATTTCAACTCATTGTTTTAATTTCTGCCCAAAGACAGAGACTTTTCAAAGTTCCTCATAAGCATCTGGAGCAAGACAACCCAGTCTGGCAAACAGGTCAGTCACTGGGGCACTCTGGGGATGTGGGGCACTCGGGTCCTCCTTGTTCCCGCCCTGACGTGCTCCCATAATCCTGCTGAGTGTCCTACTAACACACGGCAGGATTAATCTCTGCTTCTCACTCAGTAGGAATTGTTCCACTTTGCAGTAAGTAATTACATGTTACTGGGAGAGAAAGGCTGACTCCATCTTTCAGTTGCTGTGGCACTTGGCTGGGATGTTAGAAGACCTCAGGTAGGTCCATGCTCCAGAAAATACACGATTATTAACCAGCTTCAAAAGATCTGCATGCAGATTCACGTAAGAAACCTGAGAGCTAGCTACCCAGAATAGCCAGCTGCTTGGCAATCAAAATCCTTACAAGAGATAAGAAACATCACAATTCAAGCCCACAGCCTGAGCTGCGATCCTTTGAACCTTGGTTGCCTACACCCCAAATACAGGCTCTCACAGACCACTGGAGAGGGAAGGCATCACCCAGTCTTCCTCCCAACTACAGCTACCACCCTACACCTGAGATAGCTTTTATGGGATGCATCAGACAAAGAGGTGAGTTTCATAAAAGCTGGTGAGTGTCCATGAAGAGTTCTGGTTCAGCATTTCCCCTCTCTGCTCACAAAACGTCGTTCCTAACACCACAGGACACTCAAGCCAGAGGTGGGACATCATGAGAGTCTATCACAGTGCTGATCTTGCCCATCTCTGAAGACCTTGGGTTTGGAAGACTAGAGTGAGACTCAGAAGTGCGGATGGGCTCTGAGCGTGTGAGAACAACCTCACAGTCTGTGCATTTTAACTGTGTTCGTACTCGAACGTTTTGTTGTTATAGGAGAGGAGCAGGTGGTTCAAAAAGCATGTCTGGATGTAAAAAGTGCAAGCTGGAGCTGATGAATGTTAAATGAAATATAAGTGACAATTACCTGAGTTTCAGAAATTGCCTTGACAGGATACACACTTACTGAGCAGTCTGGCTGGCAAGTGAGCAGAGCTTTCAATGTTGGTCTATATATATATACAGTGAGTATACGTGTTCCTTTAATCCTTGTTTAACCTAGCAGCTCCACCTACCCTGTAGACTGAAATTCTCATGTATTCATTAAGTGTGCTGAGCAAAAACACTTCCTGAGACATCTCCTCTCCCTTTTCTGCCAGATAGGAGTGCAGGGGTTCAAAAGATCTGCATGCAGATTCACAACATGAGTCCATTCACCCTGTCCCCAAGAGCAGATGCTACTTGGTGCACATAGGCAGTGGCACTGATTGTGTTGGGAATTCCCTCCCAGCCTCCAACTATCATCTACATATTTTTAATTGGAAGGTACCTCCAGTAAATGGTATTTAGTAGCAAGCAGCATTTAATGGCTCTACTGAAGGGATCCCTGCTAAATCTAGGGAAGTGCTGTCACTTTGAATTCCTCTGGCTCCATCAGTGAGGATGTGAGGTGATAGTGATGTTGTAGTGTAGATCCTTTTCTCAGAGAGTTTTGTAGATGTGATCATTCCACAAACATTACGCACTCGCTACAGATACCAGCCATCCACTCACTTCATAAATATCAATAGTTCTGAGGAAATCAATGGTCTTATGAATCTGTGTAAAGAAAACAGCATTTTGCCCTTAAAAATAACAACATTCGGTCACCTCCAGAATCTGGTGCATTTAGCCAATGTGCTTAAAGATTGCAGAATCAGAATTGTGGAATGATCTAGGTCGGAAGGGACCTCTGGAGAGCACCTAGTCCAAACCCCATTAAAGAGGGGCCAACTTCAAAGTTAGATCAGGTCACTCACAGTGCCGTCCAGCTGAATTTTGAACATCACCAAGGATAGAGATTTCACAGCCTCTTTGGACCCATTTCAGTGTTTGTCTACTCTCCAGGTGAATATATATTTCCCAATTTCTAATTGGAATATCCAGTGTGGTGGCTTGCATTCACTGCATCTTGTCCTACTGCTGTGTACCTCTAAGAAGAGTTTGCCTCCACCCTCCCTACACCCTCCCCTGAGGTAGCTGGAGACAGCAGTAAGATTTTCCCCTTAACCTTCTCTTTTTAAGATTGATGAACTCAGTTCTCCCTCCCTTTACACATCATATGCCTGTCCGCTCATCATCTCGATGACCTTCCACTGGACCTTCCCCCAGTATGTCAGTGTCTTGTACTGACAAACCCCAAACTGGACATAAAATTCCAAGGTTTGTTGGACAGAGGGAAATGGTTACATCCCTCGACCTGATTGCCACACTCTTACTCCTACAGGTCAGGATGCTCCAGGATGTGCAGCGGCACATTGCAGACTGCAACTTCTTGCCTGAGAGGCCACCCAGGCCCTCTTCTGCAAAATGCTGTCTACCCAGTCAGTCCCCAGCCTGTACTGGTGTATAGGGTTCTTCAATCCCAGGTGCAGACCTTTGCATTTCCATATATGAGATATATATATATGTATTTGTCTACATTTTCTATTTCCAATTAGTACCCAGCTGACCCATTCAGAATCTGCTAATACATATTTTTAAAAGTCCAGTAAGTAAGATAATGAAAATATTCATAATTTTCCATTAGAACATAATCTAGTTTTACTTCTTCAGATTTAATACATTTTATTTCCATTTCCCTTTAAATTTAATTTTTGTCTATTTGTTCCTGAAGTAAAAAATAATAACATCTTTTCGGGAGCACATATTCCATAATTTGTGGTTGATTCTGTTAATTCTGGGCTTCATAGGCTTCTCTGGGAAGGGCCGACGTAACAAAAAGCTCTCAGTCCTAGCAGCTGCTAAGTGTTTTGATCAATTGAATGACAGTCAAGGATGTTTGGCACCTTGCAAACCAGGAATTTTAAATCAGGAGGCTTTATGAAAGCCTGCAAACCCCATTTGTCCTTTGAATTGTAAGTAAAGACCTTACCCGTTCCAAATATTTCAGTGTTCATGTGTATAAAAGATAAAATAATCCTTTCTCCCCCAAAAAGATGGCAGTAGATTTCCAAAATTGTTATAGTCTCTAAGGCTACATCTGGTCTAGTAACTGCAATAGGCCGGGTCCTGTTCTCTGGCTCTGAGGACGAGTATCACAGCACAGCATGAGTCCATACGGGGAAATTCCCGTCCCACCAAAACAAGGTCCTGGACCTGTTGTGGATACGCTGCCTTGTGTTTCACTTGGTAGCACGGAGAAACAAGTAGCAGCTAGAAAACATCTTATTTCTTTAGCCCTCGTTATTGTTGCTTTGCTGTTTTACATTAGAAAGTCCAGAGAGATTCAGAAGCGACAGCAGAAAGCACCAGTTTGGTTTAACCCTCCGTATACCACGAGCACAGTATGGATCAGGCACTCCCGGGAACACCTCTGTCGTTCGTGTTTTCTCCCCCAAGTCTCTGAAAGTGCACTTCACCGACTCTGAACACTGATGCCCGCCCTTCCTTCCTTCCTTCTCCCCCCCAGCGATGCAGACTGTGAGCCCCATGTCGGTGCCTGCCGGCTTCTCGCAGCATGCGTCGCCTCCGACCCAAAAGCCCTTTGGACCCCTTATCCCGGGACTGTCCGGAGAAGCGGGGCGCCAACACCGGCACAGCCCTGTCCGAAAGCCGTCCAAGGCTTCCAGGCTGGCATCCCTCCATGGAGCCGGTGCCCCGGGAAACCTGCTCGGTGGGTTTAAATTCTGTGAGGCCCAGAATCTCACTTCTCATCCCAAACGGTGTAATAAAAACCAGGTGAAATGCTCAAACATTTCGTTAAAGGTTAATGTTATTAATTTAACGATTAATAACAGCAGCCAAGCGATAGATTATTTCTAATGAGAGGCCCGCCAATTGCTAACAAGTTAGGAAATGCCAGAGCAGAAGTTCTCAGAGAAATAATCCCCTGCCACATCCCCCCTACACAGAATAACCGGGATTACTATAATTACTATTACACGGGAGCTATAAAATTCCCGTGGCACCTCACCGACACGTTTTTCCAAGAGCCCGGGCGCAATTTTCGCAGGGCTGCTAACTTTCTGCGTCTGACACGGAATACGCCCCACGGGAGAGAAAGCCACCCCGAGCAGAAGCGGCGCAGACAAAGCCGGGGGGCTGCAGCGGGATGCGGGATGCGGGATGTGGCGGGATGCGGGATGTGGGATGCGGACAGCGGCTGCCGGTTCTGCCTTGGCCCCGCTCCGACCGCCTCGGGTTCGGAGGGACAATCCCCGCACCGAAATGACTAAGCACGAACTCGCAAGCCCCGGGGAGCCGCTCCCCCGCCGAGAGAGGCTGCTCGCTCCGCACCCGCGCAAGGCGGAGGGCGGGAGGGGGACGGAGGGACGGACGGACGGACGGACAGACGGACGGACGGACGGACGGACACACGACACTCACCTGCCCGCCCCGAGCCCCCACCAGCCCGGACTCCTCCTCGGCGGGGGCAGCC